TTCTCCTAAATATTATGAAAAAGTCTCTTGTTGTAACCACGCCTGCCAACTTCTGGACTTGACAATACAGGAAATGTCGCCGCCCGGTGCTACTATGAGAGCGGTGCTGGGGGGAAATGCTAATACGGGAGCACGGCGGGAGAGGGAGGTAAAATACGGTAGTTTCCCAGAAAAAACGTGAGACTTCACTGGTTATAACCAGATATCGATCCTGAATTTATTTCCAATCTCTTCCGTAGTTTGATGTCCCTGTAGGGGAAGGGTCGCCACATTTCTGGGCAGATCGAGGGGAAACTCCCGGAAGCTGTGACCCTGAACGGCGGGAACATTAGCAGCATTAGCGGCGGGACGCGGAGCAGGTCGGAGGTCCGTTTTTATCCGCCGTCGGTCTGCGCTCAGCTGGCGGGGTGCTGAAAGCAGCGGCTCGTCTCCCAGCCTTGGCAGGGACGCGAGCCGCTGACAGCCGGTGATCTCTCTGCCGGGGCCGGCTTTCTTCGCCCGGCAGCTAGTTTTATTTTTAGCTTTGAGCTGCTAGAAAAATACCAACGCGTCTGTTTATCATCCGTTCATAGGAAATACTAGAGAAAAAATATGATAAATATAAATATATTTTTCTGCATATCATTACAACATGTCCTTATTTGTGAATTAGTTTCAAATAAATGTGTCCAAACTGAGGGGCACGGGCCATTTGTGGCCCCTACGCTGACATTGTGCGGCCCCACAGACTCCAGTTCGGTGGCCAGCAGTTGGTTAATGCTGATTAATTAGAGCAAAATTAATTAGCTGATTAATTTAATTGGAGTAAATATCATATTTTAAATAATGGTGCAGTCTCTATATTCATTTATTTTTTCACAGTCAATGAATTTAACCACTGAGAGACAATACAAGATCTTTCTATTCTACTTTTTTCTTTTATTACAAATATCAAAATCTTTTTACACTGGAAATGATTTGTCTTTTAATAACTGCTTTTTAAAACTAATTTATTTATTAAACTTTGATAAATACAGAAACATTTTAAATAAATCCTGCTGTTCTTACCGACTATCTTTTAGTTTTCCAAACCAGATGCCTTTTTTTAATCAGGCAAAGTGCAGAACCGGCTCAGAACATCTTAACTAGATCATTGACCCAGGCCCGGTCCATCAGAACCAACACAGACTAATAATAAAAACAGTTACGAGTCTGATGAAGACAAGAAACAGAACAGAACCAACAAAAACAAAACCATCCATCCATCTGTACCTAAACCCTGTATAGGTGTCCTCCACATGCCTGAAGGACCCGGTTAGTCGGGTTGTAACTGAAAGCTTCTAATTTAGTGTTTCACTGAAACGAATCCTCTCTATTTTTAACTGAGTGAGGAACATTCCTGCAGCGTTGGTTCATGTTGAAACGCAGAGCGAAGGGAACACCAGCATCCCCTAATGCCCCCACCACTCCCCTAATGCCCCCACCCCGGCCGTCTGGGGGCATCCACAGGGCAAAACGTGGTAAAGTCAGGATTTCTCCTAACTTTCGATGTGTTCAGGTGTTTGAACAGTTTGACTTAATGCCACACTCCTGGCTCCGTGTGCTTTCCCAACAGGACCCAGAACCGGTCCAGAACCAGAACCGCTGCTACACAGTGACTACGGCGGGCTGGACTCACCTGCTGCTTCACGCCTGCGGCGCCGTTAGTCCCGACAGGAAGTGTCCTTATGGCGCCATCCTGCCAGAAAACAGAAATTCATTTTCAGCTTCAGATAAAAACTGAAATGATTCAACGATTAATATTTTTTACAGACGATAGAAAACAAAAAGTTTCCCCTGAGGAAGAAAGCAGCAGCTAAATGTTAGCAGGCGGGTATTTCCATCGGTAAAATGTGTCTTTACAGGCTTTCTGTGAGTACAGTGTGTAATTATAGATGGTTATTTTTGCACATTCATACTGTGGATGTATTTGTGTTTCTGCTCAGGATGCATGGAGGAAGTGGCAGCCTGGGTGTGAAGAGCTGCGCTTCCATTCATTTACTGTTTACTATCAATCTGTGAGCCTTTTTAACATGAAATAAACATTAAAATCTCCAACAATCACAAACGTAAATAACAGCAAAGTAACGTAAAGCAGCAATAAAGAATCACAAAGTACTGCAGAGAGCAATGCTGTAAAATAAAATCAAGAAAAATAAAGTAAAAAATCCCAAAGAAATGCAAAGTAACAGAAAATACCATAAAATAACAAAACCACGGAACCAACGAATCCAGTAAAACTAAGTTTAGTAGAGAAAAAAACAGAAATGCAAACTAACAAAGCTCACCACGGCGTAAAATTAAGAAAACTTCAAAGTAATGGAAAGTATTGGAAAGTATTGGAAAGTATTGGATGCATCGTGGTGTAAAATAAAACTAAAAGTCACATGATGCACCAAGATGTAAGCAAATATAATAAAGTGAAAAACATTCAGATTTAATATGTAGAATCTTATAGTTTCAGCTTAAAGTGTCATCAGTGATAAAACATTATTATCCTCAGATTGAAGTGATCAGCTGATCAGTCCAGATGCTGATTATATTCTAATCAATCAATAAAGTCTCCTCTCCTCTTTCAGATCTCCTGCATCTTCCCTCCGTCCAGAAACCGAAGAGCCGAGGGGAAGAAACGACCAGCGGACAGGAAGTGATCAGAGCGACAGACAGGAAGTGATCAGAGCGACGGACAGGAAGTGATCAGAGCGACGGACAGGAAGTGATCAGAGCGGCGTCCAGGAAGTGATCAGAGCGACGGACAGCAAGTGATCAGAGCGACGGACAGCAAGTGATCAGAGCGATGGACAGGAAGTGATCAGAGCGACGGACAGGAAGTGATCAGAGCGGCGTCCAGGTGCCGCCACGCTGATTCATGTAAATAATGCAGCTCAGGATGCGACGCTGTGCTGAGATGCAAAAGGTGTGTGTGGGCAGAAACAACTTCCCAGAACGTTCAGCAGAATAATATTAATAAAATATCAAAACTTTTTATGCCGTTTCATTCAGGGGCAGAAAAAACTTTTCCTTTATGATTTATTATTATTATTATTATTATTATTATTATTATTATTTATTAATGTCTGCCATAGCAGCAAAGGCATAAACCTGCAATCAAAATAAGAAATTTGGTCTTTCAAAATAAAAGAACGACTCAAGTAAATTTAAAAAAACAGCTTTCAAAATAAAGTCTGTCAATCTAATTGAGTTGATTCTTGCATGTTCCTCATAAACCATTGACATTTCAAAATAAAAGCCTTTAATGTTTTATTGCTTACATTACAGGGGTTTATGTGACAAACTAAGAATAAAAGATGTTTGTCAGCTTTTCAAAATAAATCTGCAAGATACCCTTCAAAATAAATGTAATTTTTGAAACTTATTTTAAGTCTAAAATTTTATTGAGTAATTATTGCAGGTTCTATGTTTAAAATCAAAATAATATATTTATTTTAATTTGAAAAATTACAAAGTTCAAATGTGCTCTTCAAAATGAAAGTCTAAATCTTTCCTATCATTGACTTAAATAGCTCTAAATTCACAAACTAAAAGGGATTGTGTTGCCCTAAATTGAGATTGTGTTGCCTTTTCACAATAAAAGCATGTTATAATTTAGTGATTGAAATATTTTAGAAGATTAAATAAATAAATAAAACTTTCTTCAAAGTAAAAGCTTGCAAATGATGGATTACAACAAACTGAGGTTCCATGTTACGAATGGACCGAAACCAGACAGGAAGTGGAGATTCTGTTGGCCTTTCAAAATAAAACTCTCAGGTTAGGTTCCAGAAAACTGAAGGATGTTCAGCCTGCAGAAAAACGGGTTTGGAAATAAAAAGGTTCCGCTTGTCGTCACGTGATTCAACAACAAACGGATCAGAACACGTGGCGACACCAAACAGAACTGAACTGAATGGAACAGAACCAAACAGAACCGGGCTGATAGGCGGGTTTTTCCGAGCCGTCCTCCTGATCCAGTCCACCAGGAGTGAGGCAAGAAAAAATTGTGACTGTTTTTCTTCTTCATGTCTGTCAGGGAGCACACACACACACACACACACGCATGCACACACACACACATACTCGCAGTGTGTTTCCATGCCGGCTGTTTCCACAGAGGAAAATCGGCCGTCCAGCTGCGGCTCCCAGATCCTTTTATTACATTTTTCCAAACAAACATCTCCTCTGCTTGTTCTGCGTCGCAACGTGACACAATCTGTTTTATTATTATTAAAATCATCGCTGCACGTCAGAGCAACACAGGCCTCAAACTGCTGGCAACACAGAAAACAACTGGCCCTTTCAAAATAAAACCATCTGAATGGAAATAAAGCTCAGATGTCTTCTTCAAAATAAAAGTCTAAATGTTACATAGTTTGTGATTTCTTGAATAAATTGGTATAACATTACTACAGGAAAAGGGATTATGTCGCCCTTTCAAAACAAAAGCCTGTTCAGACTTTTGCAAATGTTTATAACCCTTCAAAATAAAGCTCACACATTGTCGTTAAAAAATGTTGAAAGGATTCCGTTGACTTTTCAAAATAAACCTGGTTCCAGTTTCTAAACATATCAGTTCTTATTTTATTGTTATAAATTATCTGTTAATATTTCATTAGTTATGAATAAATGTTAGCAGAAATAACTGTCTTGTTATTAAAATGTCGATGGCTTTCCGTAGCCGTTTGGCCCCAGGCAGGAAATCAGCTGCATGAAAACATGAGGCTCATGAAGCGGAGATATCGCCGCCCCGAAGGCAAAAACATGGAGCTGTTTCGGTTCCACAAGCTCAACAATTTATCAGACAAATCAGTCGTTTGTCTCAGACTTCAATATGCGTAAGAATCAGCAGAGAGGAACTTCTGGAGCTGAACCAACGTTTAGAAAACCTAAACGCCTTAAACGCACCGTCCACACTGTGAAGCACAGTAGTGGCAGCATCATGCTGTTGGACAGGGAAACTACATCCAGAACAAACCTGGAAGGAAACCTGCAGGAGACAGGGCTGGAGTTTCACCTTTAATCAGGACAAACCGCCTAGACATGCAGCTGGATGGCCTAGTCAAAGCCCAGACCAAAATTCAACTGAGAATCTGTAGCGAGATTTGAAAACTTTCAGCTTCAGTCTGTAGATGTTAAAGTAAACAAAGACAAGCAGCCAGAGCCGGATCTAGTCAAAGTTCTGACTCAGGGTGCCTGAACACAAACATGCCACACTTTTCAGATTCCTGTTTGCTTAAAAAGGAAATGAAAATTAAAATTTCTGTCATTTCTGACGAGACAGAAAGTGAAAAAGTTCATGAAGTGTGAAAATATCTGCAACATTTTGTTTTGAAAAATAAAGTTTTTAGTGAATGAAAGCTAAAAAATAAAATGGCATCTGGGTGTTGAATCGGGTTTAAAGTTGAATCGGGTTTAAAGTTGAGTCGGGTTTAAAGTTGAATCGGGTTTAAAGTTGAACCGGGTTTAAAGTTGAGTCGGGTTTA